GGGCTATATGTAGGCCCTGCTCCAGAGGATAAGTGGGGAGAAATAACAAAGAATAAAATATCAGAGCTTATGCCTCCCCATTGAGGCTGTGTGCAGCATAACATTGAGTTACTGGGACCTAGTGCTAAATAAGTTTTGCCCTCTGTGCAGAAATTCCCAATCCAAATTAAACCAGGGGACTGACTCGGCTGTTTGCAGCTGCTGTGCTATAGCCTGAGGGGCAATTGGTTTTGGTGTCCCAGATCCAAACCATGTAGAGCTTTACAGGCGAAAGCAAACCCTTACATTTGCAGCTCCCTGAATCTGGCGGTCGGGCACATAAACTACTCAGCATGTCATTTTGTGATTGGACCAACAAAACCAGACACATGAACAAGACCTGCTGTAGGGAGACAGGAGGCTGCATGTGGATTTCCTCCCTGACACTGGATGATCTTTCCTCTTTTCTGGACTCTTCCCTGGCAACCTGGAGTGGTTGGGAGCGGAACCTGGGGAACCTCAGCTATAGGCTTTCTGGTTGCACACCACCTGCTGCTTTATTACTTCCTTCTGCCCCAGGGGCCACAGCAGTCTGGAAAGAGAGGAAGAAGAGCAGGGAGGGAACAAGGGGGAGTGCAGGCATGACCTAAGAGTGGTGGTTTGAAAGTCTAAGCAGGGGAGCCAGGGCAATGAGGACAAGTAGGAGGAGGATGTAGCTTTGCTTATTGAATGAGACAAGCACTCTCAGATCAGGTTTCTCTCACACTTCCCCACTGAAGATAGTTGAGAAGGTTGTTGCACCAAATGCTCTTGAGTGTTAAAGGGGCCATATTCAATCCTGAAGTTAGAAAACTTGCTTTCAACTTTACCTGGGACTAAGTGGATAGCCAATGCATGTCACTGCACTCAGATGTAGGGTGGTCTTTCTGGAGAAGACCTCTTTGCAGGCAAGCAGTTCCCTTCTGCAATAGCTTCACTTTTGGAATTATATTAGGTCAAAAATCCCAAGGGCCATGAGTTGATAGAGACAAATGTACATTGTGTAGGTTGTAAGAGAAGCGCTTCCTATGGGTGTACCTTAATATTCTTTCCCCAGGCTTCATGGACAGGACATCAGGGACAACAATAGCCTTACATATGGACCAATGAGTTTGTCCATGGACCAATATAGACTTGGGGTGCCACAGTACAGAAGGTAATCAAAGTCTCCTGCTCTTCCTTGCTCTGTTGCTTAATTTTTCCTCCCCTTATATATGCTGCAGAATGTAGGAGTGCCACTGTGGGCAAAGCACTGTTGCTTTCCCATCCTTCTGCCTCTTCAATGAAGTGAGAAGTTAAATTGTTCTCTGCTTTCTATTGCTGAAGGGAACCATGTACTGTACTAATCCTCAGCCTGGTTGTGAACACCTTCAAGTAGGTTCTCTGGACTAGGAGTATGAAGATGTCTGGAAGGGGTGATAAGAAAGTGTGATTCACTGGGGGCCTGTTAAAAGACCACTCGTCTTCACTGGGTAAAATCCCCTTGACTCAAACATACCACTAACCCTTTTTAACTGGGTTTTTCACACCTCCTTTGTGTAATAGTACCTTGGTTGGCATTTTAGAAAAGTATAATATACAGTGTTTAATTTTGAGGGACTGAGATCAGAAAGGTAAAAGGAAAAAAGTGGGGAGGGAGAAATGGTTAACTAGAAAAGAGAATGGGGAGCAGATAGCAAGACCTGACAAGACAAAACATATGCATGGACTGATGTTGAGAGATGGTGGGAGAAGCAGAAATAGGAGAGAAGAAACTGGACTGGGAAGATGAAACTCACTAAGAGGTATGGAAAACAACAGGCTGGGACAAGAGTGGGTGTTTGGAGAGCCTGGAAAGAGAGGAAAATGAGACTTCATCTTTCAGGTTAGAGATCAGGCTAGCACATGTGACATTTTTATAAGTGCACTTGCCATTGTACAATGGATGAGCTATGTTGAACAACTAATAAATTCCTGTCCCAGGAAACTTGCTGTCTTAGGATACATGGGGGATAATTATTGTATATCATGAAACAACACCGAACAAACCTACAGTGGGTTATGGTAATATGCCCGTGTTAATTCCTTGTTTGTGTGCTGAGGAAATTTTCATGAAGCGATGAATTATAGATTTGTAAATATTGCTTCCCTCTTTCTTTTCTTTGTCTGGGATCCTAGGAGAGTGCCCTCCCCCACCCCCCAAAAAAAAAAAAAAAAAAATTGTATCTAAGGCTGGCTGTATCTAGAACAGGCAATAACAACATAATATAACATTTGCCCTGATGAAGGGAAGAAAAAAGCATTTTCTACCCTTGCCTCCCTCCTCCCTTCCACAACCCCAGCTGGATCTTCCACACACACACCTTTGCTTAAGACCAAAGCCAAGGAAAAGGGAAAGAAGGGATATCCCTGCTCCAGACATATGTTTAACTAGGTGAAAACTTAAGAATGCTCCCATTTAAATACAAATAGCATTTTTTGTGCACATGCATGTGCATGCATTTTTTGTGCATTTTTATGTGCATTTTAACATGCACGTTAAAATATAGATTTTAACATGTGCATGTACAGCCTATGCACATGTTAAAATCTATATTTCAGTCAGAGATGGTTTGGATTTTCCCTAGCACTTCTGTTGGGGATTTTTTTGTGGGGTAAAAAAGAAATATGTTTTTTCTTTTATATTGCTGCTTTGGAATGTGGATTCTTATTTTTCTTGCCTGCTGCAACTGCTCACATATGAGAATTTGTAGCAGACACTGGAGAACAACATATAGCGCTCTCTTGGTTAAGCAGTGGGGCCCCAAGCAGTGATCTGTCTTCTCTTCATGGCATGAGAAGTCAGGGTCTGCACTGGGCTTGGGAGAAAGGAGATAAGGAAGGATTTCAATTGGGTGGCAAGGGACACTTGACAGCTGGGTGGGGGATGGGAGAGTTTTAGGCAGCTGGGGGAGGAGGGGCAACACATTCAGAACATGCACATCCCCAGAGTCACACTTGCATATCTCTGGAGATTGACTTCTCACAATGCTCAGACTGTTCATGTGACATTTGATCTTAGCCAAAAGGCCAAAAAGCAGTGTTCCTGCTGCCATTAGTTAGCAAAGAGAGTAAACATTTCTACAATTGTTATTTGAGGATTTAATTTCTTCAACCTTGTCTTCTCAAGCATAAAGACTGTGGCAAGCCTGAAGGTTTTAAGCCAAGCAGGTTTTGAAGTCTAAGCTGCAAATATATTCTAAAACTGGAGAGGAAAAAATCTTTTTGGTCTTCCATAAAGCTGGATCTTCTCAAATTGTCAGTAGCACCTTCTTTAGAGCTTCAAAACGATGTTTCTCTTCTGGCTGAAACTAATTGTACCTTTATATCCCAAAAGGAATTTTTTGGTTGTAGAAACATGATTAAGGGGAAATAAGACTTATAAAGGTTATTTCTTACAACTTGAATTATTTTTTTCCTTTTTTTTTTTTTTTTTTAATGCTAATAGTATCCATCTGTTTCTACTGGTAACTGCTTTCAGCTTTTACCTTACTGCTTTGCCTGAACTTTCTAGTGCTTTCCCAATAAAAGCTATGATCTTGCTTAGGTGCCTACAGTGTTGCATAATAACTTAAGACTGCCTTTCTCTCTTGCTAATACAAGGGGAGGAAAGATGACTTTCCTGTCAAGTTTCCTGATTTTTAAGCTAGTGAAATTAGAATTCTGCAGTTTTTATTAATTACTGCATTTTTAAAGCAAAGAAGCAAATAGGAGTCAGTTCTTCAGTCTAAAATCTCCATTTGCTTTATTATATACTGTAGGATCATCATCATAAATACACCATTTATTCAGTTAGATTGATATGCAATCAGTTTGGTCCAAAAGGCTTTTTGTTAAAACACCCAACTTTAAGGGAGCTGTGTGTACATAAAACCAAGTTTCACTACTGCCCTTAAATTATCTGTTAGATTGACCATAAATCAGCAGAATCTGTTTTATGAGCTTGTAAATGTCATTAAATCTGTTGGGTTTTAACAGTTAGTTCAGGTTCTTACCCAGCCTCCATTCAGAGGTGTCCACAGTAAATCTGGACTAGAAGAGTGGTAGTTTTATATAGAAAAAGGTCTATCTATGGCCATCTGCTACCCAAAGAAACAGTATTACTTTGCACTTGCTACTTGTTAGGCACAGAAAGTTTGCACTAGCCATAGGGCAGAATCAGGATAAAAATGGGGGGAAAAAATTCAGGACAGTTCCTTAGATAGGCCTATGGACCGGGGAGACGAGATGCGTCAAAGAAAGGGCTTCACCTCCACACTTCATCAGATGAACAGGCCTATTTCTTCTTTTCCTTTCACCATATCGTTTTAGGTCTAGTCAAAATACAACTTTACTCAATATTTATTCTTTATCCTTAAAGCACTATACACAGACTTTTTTCCTGAACATAGATAAAGTTTCCTTGAAACACTTGTATAAAAAACAAGCCAACTTGACTGGAAAGATGATTTTTCTCTCCCTTAAAAAGAAGCAAAACTACCCAGAGTTTCATAAGGTATAAAACGTTATGTTGATTTACTCCATATAAATGCAGCTTTCTCAGTTTTATCTTGTTGCTTGTATGTCAGAACTTTATTAATAGCACTACTAGATGACCAAGCATACTGGTCATTTTCTCTAAGGTAAGGCTAAGAGATTTTAGAAGCTGTCCTTTGATTGCAGTGGCAACCTTTATTCAAGACCTTTCAGAAAACTTAGCAGTAGTTGCATCTAAAACATTTATTTTTAATTTTATTTCAGAGGCATGATGGAGAACGATGACAACGTCTCCTCCCCAGCAAACTAAAGATCACTCTTATAAATAAGAAAACAAACAAAAACTGAGACACAATTTTCAATGTTGGTAAACCCTTCATTTCCACATGGAAATACCAGACCATTATTCTATTCCAATATTATCTGTTAATGGTAAATACTTGTTTTTGAGAGAGCTCTGTACCCCAATATGCATAAATTTAAGTAGCATGGAGAGCAATAGAAATGAAGCTTATAAAGACAGCTCAGAGAGTAAATGTTGAGAGAATATCTACCTTTCCTGATGATTCTTAGTCACAGAACTATTTCTTTTCTACTGCTAGTCAAATAACTTGTTCTTGTAGTAGAGGGTTAAGAAATTAGAGTAGGGAAAAGATAAAAATGACATGTAGTACAAATCCAAAAGAGAAAACACACTTTATTCAGAAATGTGTTTGT